GGAAGGGGAATCAAAGTCATCACCCTCCTTTTCTTCCCCTGCCAGCGGTCCGAAGCCTTCTTTGTCCTCCCACCAGTCACAAAAAACACCTTGGGATCAAAAGCTGGAAGGCGGGAAGATTCAAACCAGCAATGGATGCTGCGGTGTATTCAAAGGCTACCTGCTCTCCAGGTCGTAAACAGTTTGTTTACTGGGCATCTAGAGGAAACCCAGAACTGGCTGGCCAAGGATTCCTCACCCACAACAGTGGCGGGTGTCCAAGGACTGGCCACCTGCAAAGTGTGATGTGCAATATTACCTCCACAGAAATGCTTGTGGAAGTAAAGGACCCAGGACCGCTTTTCTGTGACTGTGGAAATGTTCGATCCATGCAGCACTGATGTGCACGCCATTTAAGCCCCACCACGTGTACAAAAGAAGAACTAGCAAATGGCCGAGATAAGGCCATTGAAGTCGCCTGCTTCTGGTCAGAAACTGTTTTTTACTTTTACCTTTGTTTCATATACATCCACAGTTTTTAAATTGTGCAATGCTCTGATACGAAGGAAGGAAGGAAGGAAAAGAGAAAGATTAAAGGAAGGAAGGGAGGGAGGGAGGAAGGAAGGAAGGAAGGAAAAGAGAAAGATTAAAGGAAGGAAGGGAGGGAGGGAGGAAGGAAGGAAGGAAGGAAAAGAGAAAGATTAAAGGAAGGAAGGGAGGGAGGGAGGAAGGAAGGAAGGAAGGAAAAGAGAAAGATTAAAGGAAGGAAGGGAGGGAGGGAGGAAGGAAGGAAGGAAGGAAAAGAGAAAGATTAAAGGAAGGAAGGGAGGGAGGGAGGAAGGAAGGAAGGAAGGAAAAGAGAAAGATTAAAGGAAGGAAGGGAGGGAGGGAGGAAGGAAGGAAGGAAGGAAAAGAGAAAGATTAAAGGAAGGAAGGGAGGGAGGGAGGAAGGAAGGAAGGAAGGAAGACTTCTACAATCATCTTTTGCAGTCTTGCCATGGTTTGAGGAGCCGAAGCCTAGCTGGATTTGGCCCTGAGCAGGTGAGGTCTGTAGAACAGACGAGGCAAAAGGTTAATGGGGACGAAAAAAGAAAAAAAGAGAAGGGAAGAGCCCATTGCAGAAAGGAAGGCAGGAAAGGATCTGGACGAGATGGGTCAGGGAGACAAGAGGGGCAAGCCCCAGAAACTCCTCTAGGAAACTCCAAGTGGGGCCGAGGCGAGGCGGGTTCTGCTGGTGGGTTTCGGCCCTTGGTGAAGAACCTCCAGGAGCCTCCCACAGGGACAAGTTGCAAGGCTTGACTCCATCGCAGGCTCTCTGTTCCTCAGATCCCCACCCTCTTTGTTCACTGGACCCTATTTGTGAATGTCATTACAATCGGATGAAATTGTGGCACAGGCCTTCACCCTGAACACCCTTTCTCTTTCTCTGTCTCTCTCTCTCTCACACACACACACACGCAGATACACACACATTTGTGGGCTCTGATCCCATCCCACCCCTTCTCTCTTTCTCGTGGACCACCGGCAGAAGGGAGCCTCGCAGATTCCTATCGGAGCACCCAAAGGATGGGTGCCTTGTCCATTTGAGGCAGGAAGCGTGGGTTTCCGGCTGCTCTCTCTGCCTCCCCGTCCTCCTTTCCGCCAGTACCCTCCCCACCCCCCCAAGAGGCATGTGTGCTGCTCCCTGGAACCAGCCATCCCCCAGAGCATCTCCTGTGCTCCCTCAAAGAAGGGAGGGGGAAAAAAACCTGGATTTGGACGGTGAAGCAGAAAATCCTCACTCCTGCTTAGCCGAGGAGACTCCAGAACCAAACCAAAGAGCCCCCCCTTGCAGAAAGAGGCGCCCTAACCCTTTGAGCACCCAAACACACACGGCACCTGGGAACGCAAGAGCGCTGAAAAGGAAAACGGGGCAACTTCCAGATCGTCTTCAAAAAATCTCACAACTCAAGAATTGTGCTGTCCATCAGAAGGGAGGCCCCGCTTCACTCCGTCTACTACTCTCCAATACAATCCTAGCAGGGGTGAGCTGCTATTTGTGGACTTCCATCTCCCAGAATCCCCTAGCCAGCAGAGTCACAGATCGTGTGGGCTGGGGATTCTGGGAGTAATAGTCCAAAAAGCGTCTTTCCCCCCCTCTGCTCTGAACGCAACACCGTCCTTGCACAACACCAACCCAAGATGCTATTCAAACACTAGGCAATTCACGACATGCCCAAGACGGTGCCACTTAACGCCCTACTGTCCTCCAACAGATCTCCAGAAATACTCTCGAGGTGGGCTTCCTAAATCAGCAACAGGTTTTTGTCCCGATGGTTCCTCCAAGGATGAGTTTCAGTTCTCCCCCCCCCCAAGCCTGCGGGCCTCTTAAAAGGGGCCTTCATTGTCTCCTTAACACAGGCATGGACTCCCACGCCGTTTGGACAAGCAACAAACAGCCAGGCTGGTACCTCGCCACCACTAAATGTGACCCAGAAGGGAGGCCATCCCTGAGCATCGCTGGGCAACACAAGGCTCGATCACAGACCCAAGAGACAAATGTTTCGGAAAGCCCACCTCCCCTCCCAGCCCACCCACAGAGGTTTTGACCCATTGCAGGATTCCACAGCGTCTATTTCTTGGGCGGTTGGCTTTGCCCACCATCCCACCGATTGTAACGACGCAAGCAGTTACCTCTTGAAGACAACCCAGCAAACGACCAGCGCCAGCCAAGCACGGAGACCTCCTTTCTGCCTGTCCGCCTCCAGCTCAGCCCCCTTGGCTTGTGCCTCGGAGGCTCCCCTCCATGTTCCGCCGGGTGATGGGGGGGGTCTTGAGGGTGTCCCTGAGAGGAAGGTGCCTCCTCCTTCAGGACAAGGGCTCAGACGCTCCACGGTCTCAAGAGGCAGCGGTGGCAGCAGAGATGCGCGTGGATCCGATGAGCATGGCAAGGAGGACTTCCCTTCAGCCAGCGAAGGGCAGGCAGGAGAGCTCAGGGGGGCAGCATCCTCCGGGCCCCAGGCGGGAGCTTTTCAAGTTGACTTGGGGGGGGGGAGAAAGGCTGGCTTGGAGAGGCCTCAGATCTCAACACCCTTCCCCCTCCCGAAGAGGAGGCCACCGAGGCAATTACAATTGTAAATGACGCTTGGAAAGGGCCCAGCGCTGGCCGGCCGCTGCTCTGTTTCTCATTCCCCCGTTTCTCCTCCTGCTGCGGCTCCTCTCCACTCGCTCGCTCTCTCCGCTGAGAGAGAGAGAGAGAAGAGGAAGGAAATGGGGAGGCAAGCGAGAAGCTTGTGAGCTGGCTTTCCAAAGGGCACCGGGTCTCTCTGTGAGGCTGGGGCGCAGGCAATGCTCCCTTTTGCACCAAGGAGCCAAAAAAGGGCTGGAGTCCCTCCAGGAAGAGAAAGCCAGCCTCTGTTGCAGAAGGCTCCTGTCCCTCCACCTGCTTTCAAAGAGAAAGGGTGGCGTAAATGCCAAATTTGTAGCCCGTCCTGTCTGGAGCCAAACCAACAAACCAACCCACAAAAAAGCAGAGCCACCTGAGCAGGTTCTCCCAGCCTCCAGGTCTCTCCATCAAGCTTTGTGGCTTAGTCGTTCAGTCGTGTCTGACTCTTCGTGACCCCAAGGACTCAGAGCACGTCAGGCCATCCTGTCTTCCACAGCCTCCCGGAGTTGGGTCAGATTCTGCTTGGTTTCATCACTGCTGCCTCCCGGAGTTGGGTCAGATTCCGCTTGGCTTCATTGAGCACAAGGTTGCAAAAAGCAGAAAGGAAAAGAGGAACGGAAAGAGCACGGCGGGCGCCTCGCCAGGCGGCAGGCTGTCTTTGGACAGAACGGCGAGGCACAGAGGCGCTCCTTTCCCCTTGGCAGGAGCCCCTCTCCTGCACGAGAGGCTTCCTTGGGCCAACCACAACTGATTTTTCGCCTTCAGAAGATGGACCCTGAATGGGCTGAACCCAGCCGACTCTCACCCTCTCCTCCCAGCCTTCCCTTCGTCAAGGAGAGCCTGAGAGAGGGCCAGGCCAGCCCCTCCTGGGGACAGAAACCCAAATATTCTACCCTGCAGGATATTTTTCAGCCCCTTTCAAGGTACGCTTTCACGTTGGTGGAAAAGGATTTTGCACGGATGGCGTGATCTGGGCCAACTATGGCAATATCGTGATAGAACAGTGCAAAAAAAGAAAAAAGAATCGATGACAACAACAACCATAATAAAGAATGGAAATCTCCAATCCTGTAAAAGGAAGCTAAGCCGGGTCACTGGGTCGCAATAGTCGGGGTGAATATCCCACTCCTCCCTCCCACCCTCTCGAACCTCCTGTCATCAAATTAAGTGGGTGTCATGATCCAAGCTTATTATGACTGGGAGAAAAACCTGATTAGAAATATCAGCCTCGGTGGGCCCAGATTCAGCTCCCTGTCGGCTATAGGAGCCCTGGGGTGACCTTGGGGGCAGTCACAAACATTCAATTTAACTTCCCTCCCAGGGTCGTTGGGAGTATAAGGTGGATAGAAGAGAACCACGGACACACTCCCTCAGGCTCTCCACAAGGATGTCAATGCAACTACAGTAGTTTTGAGAGAGGCCATCCTAGAAGCCTCCCTCACGACCCCTGCATGGACGCAGGCACACCCACCCCCCCAAGAGCACTTCCGCTTGTTCACCAGCCATTAAGGGCGCCTTGCCTGACTCTTCCAAGCTCTTCCCACCCACCCGATTCCAAATTTTATCCCGGGACAGGCCGGCGGGAGCCGTGAGCAGCCTCTGACTGGCAAAATCCTGCCAGACGTCAAAAAAGGTGTGCAACGGTCCTTGGCTAACTAACTTTTCATTTCTTTTCTTCCTCTGGCAGATCATGTTCCTCATTTAATTCTGGGACTGCTAAGAAGGGAACTCAACCCTCTATTAGGGGAAAAATATTCATTACAGCTGTCAGTTGAACACTTTTAGGTGATTATTCTGTCAGACAATCAATCACGTTTAATTAAAATCTGCATCGCCTCTCTGATCTTTTTAACTAGAGATGCCGGGACCGATCCTCGACCATTCCACATCCCAAAGCATGCAGCCTAATAGTGAACTACAAAGACCCCTTTTTTCTTCTTCTTTCGTTCCATATTAGGTTACAAAACTATTCCAAAATGGTGAGGAAACAAATGCACCTCGCTCATGCCTGCAACCTCCCTGTCTCTCCCAGTCTGTTTTCACCGACCAAATAGATTTTTCCAAGCACCCCTCTGGATGCTGCCTCAGCGCCAAGACAGCCGTGTTGCACAAAGACAGACAAACAGAACGACACACACGCACACACACCCCTTGGCAGAAGGAACGGCTGCCTTTAATTTTGAAAACATGAAAATTACACCGGTTATGAAGCGCCAGCACCCACGAGGCATTGCTCCTCGTCTGCCCATCTTCTAAGGTTTGGCAGAAAAAGGACAGGAGATATTAACAGATTAGAAACCCCTCCGAGGTGGTGGCCTCAAACGGAAGTTCTCCTGGCTCCATCCGCCCCACGGGCTTCTCGGTCAGCAGCCGAGGGGCTTGCATTTTGAGCCGGTTGGGTTGGCCCTGCTGAACCGCCTGCTGTTTTTTACAGTAACCTGCTCTGATGTTTCCAATTTATGGCTGCACGTGTTTTAAGGCCACAGCCCCACCTTAGAGAACACTTGTTTTAGCCAAGCAGGAGACAAATTTTTGAAACATAATAAAGTGTCTCCCCTTTGGTTGTTGTAACTTTTTCAGGCTCCTTGGCCGTGTTCTGGAGGTTTTCCTTCCTAACATTTTGCCAGTCTCTGTGGCCGGTATCTTGAGAGGACAGAAGTTAGAACTCTGTCTGTGTTCTGGTGCAGTTTGTTTGGGAGTTGAGTATTTATAGCTGTGGGATCAGCTTTTTGTCCTTTTCAGGAGATGAGGTGATTATGATGATCAGGGTGTTTTTTTTTTTTGTTATGGGTGTATTGTTGTGTTTCGGGGGGAAGAGATGATTTGAAGATGCCCATGGCCACAGAGACTGGCGAAACATTAGGAAGAAAAACCTTCAGAACACGGCCAAACAGCCCAAAAAACTTACAACAACCATCGGATCCTGGCTATGAAAGCCTTCGAGAATACATTGTGTCTCCTTGCTCCTAACTTTTATTTGCAGGAACTCCACCCCAGCCCAAGAGAGTTCTCATGATAGCAAGAATATCTGCACACTCCTTTAAGAGCTGCTTCTTTGCGGAATAGTTTAAAAAAAATAGACGCATCCATTGATTTGCTTGCACCAAAATCTGCACATCCTTCTGCACTTGCCATATGTCCGTGGCTTTCGCTTCTCAAAGTGAAAAGACACCCGCTTTCCATAGAGAAAATCTGCAGATTTCAGAAACCTTGATGGCAAGAACAGCAACCCGGAAACCATCCTTGTTTTCGTCTCATCTTGGGGGGGGGGGCTGTTTCTCAACAGGCTCCCCTCAGGGTGTCACCGCAGCCTCTCTCTGTCTCTGGATGTGCCAAGGGGAGCCGTTACCTTCACTTGAGAAGGAGCCTTTGTGGGGACACCCCTAAACTAGGGTGTGGCTTCAGAGGGGAGCATCTCCAAGCCCACTTCCCCCCCCGCCCCGTGGCAGCAAAGAAGGAGCCCCAAACGGCTCCATGACCACAATGAATCCGTGGAGGGAAGGGGTGGGGGAAAAGCGGGACAGAAATGTGCCCAGGGGCTCCATTGCTGGAGCCCAGAGGTCAAGAAGGACATTTCCTCCCCCCTTCGTTTCTTTCCAGGGGGTTTCGGCAACAAAAGGTATCTCTCTCTGCCTTCAGCCCTGACAAGAAAAAGAGAAGAGGAGAATGAAAACTGCCCGGGGAAACTCACCCCTTTCAAACTGCCTTTGCACCACAAAGAGCCCCGACTTATTCGGAGGAGTGGGCTGGCCGGCCACCCTCCCCTTCGTCATCCCAAGAGCCCTGCGGGCGACGGACAGTTCTTGACCAGACACCACGCCGCCCATTTTGCCAACAAAGCCCATTTGCCTGGCTGGTCTCCTCCGCTTTCCGTCCAGGCCTTTGGGCTCCTCTTCCCTGGAATAAGTTAATTTACTGTAACACCCGCCTTTGTATGAAAACAGCTAAAAGGACAGCCTTCCTGCAGCCATCCCATTTCCCTTCACCGCAGGAGTTAAACGCTCCTTGTTTCACGGTGTGAAGTGCTCCCATCTTTTGAAATGCAAGAAAACTACCGAGAGGGGTCAATTTCTCCAGAAAAAAAATGACAATTCTTATTTACTCTTCCCTTTACTGCAGGCTCAATCATTTCCTAGGTGGGGGTCTTGGGGTGTTTTGGAAACGCAACCACGATCACCAGAACACATTCCATTTCAAGGCCCCGGAAAACCTGAAGACAACAACAGATGTGAAATCAACCCAGCCTCATCCTCTTCCTCCTTGAACGCCACCGCCACCTCCTACGTCTTCGCTCGGTGCTGCATTCCTTTACTCTGAAGAGAGTAGCATTTCCCCCAAATCCCACAAGGTGCTAGTCCCCTTCTCTTCAGCCCTGGTTAAGCCTCATCTTGAGTCCCGAGTCCAATTCTGGGCACCACACTTCATGAAGGATGCTAACAAACTGGAGCAAGTTCAGAGGAGGATGATAAGGAGGATCAGGGGGCTGGAAGCCAAGCCCTAGGAGAAAAAACTGAGAGGACTGGGCAGGTTTAGCCTTGAGGAAAAAAAGACTGAGGGGTGACAGGACAGCACTCTTCAAATCCTTGAAAGGTTGTCCTACAGAGGAGGGGCAG